AAATCAATAGAACAGGACCACGCATGCTCAGAAAGAATACAGCACATTACATCACTTCTGAAGTTGTATTCTGTCGAGAATTTTTATAACTTTAATAACCTTTTCATGTTCAATATGAGACTAGCATGCAAAAACAAACAAAATGGCCGATCATTCATCCGACATTCTCATTGTGTGTACCATGCTTTTTTGTGAATGGATGTGATCCGCAGCTATACGCTGATGTAAATATGGCGGCTCCTGTTTTCCTTCTAGACTATGTGTATGTGATCTGGCAGCTAAATGCCGATCACATCCACAAGGCTGAAGTAAAAGTCCCCAGTGTCACTACTTGTGATCTCCCTGGTACATCTAGCAGTTTGGTGCCTGTCTGCATTAAATCCGTAATGGTACAGGTACTGCTTCAGCTTTCTGACCCTTTTTTTCTTTGCAAGCTCACCAGTAAATTAATTGATCACAATGATTTGCAGTGTCCAAGCTCTGTGGATGTGATTGGCAGTCAAACAGCTGCCAGTCACATGCACAAGTCTTGTGGCAAGTGTGCCTCCAACTGTTCAGCCCCACTCTGTCCTTTCTGTGTCACTGTAGCTTCTGTGACTGTCAACATTGCCTGGGGCTACTGGCACCACTGCTGCTTCCAGTGAAGAGACTGGTTTCCTGCCCCCTGGTAATCGTACTTAAAACTGAAGTTTAGTTGAAAATTTTTTTCTAGCCCTACAGCTTTATTGACCTAACCTACCAGCAATGGAGTATGTTCCACATCGTGCAGGCAGCTGGATCTTGGAGAAATCTTCACTGCAAGGTCTTCATTCTGTCTTGAAATGAAATGCAAAGGGAGTTGTTAGCTTCCAGTCTGTAAGGTGAATAAGAAAAAAAAAAAAAAGTTAGACAATAGACAGGGACCCGCCCCCTTCTCCCTCCCCCTGAGAAAAGTTATTTCATTGCTTTCACTACCTGTAACACAGACAGAATCCTCTCCCCCATTCATAGATCATGTTATAAGCAATGAAAGCACTTTTATCGGTGGGTCATGGGAACTTTTTCTATTGAATCTACACTGGCTTTAAAAAGTATTCATACCCCTTGAAATGTTCCACATTTTGTCATGTTACAGCCAAAAACGTAAATGTATTTTATTGGGATTTTATGTGATAGACCAACACAAAGTGGCACATAATTGTGAAGTGGAAGGGAAATGATAATTTTTTTTTTACAAGTATCTGAAAAGTGTGGTGTGCATTTGTATTCAGCCCCCCCCAGAGACAATGCTTTGTAGAACCACCTTTCACTGCAATTACAGCTGCAAGTCTTTTTGGGGATGTCTCTATCAGCTTTGCACATCTAGAGAGGGAAATGTCTGCCCATTCTTCTTTGCAAAATAGCTGAAACTCTGTCAGATTGGATGGATAGTGTCTGTGAACAGCAATTTGCAAGTCTTGTAACAGATTTTTAATTAGATTTAGGTCTGGACTTTGACTGGGCCACTCTAACACATGAATATGCTTTGATCTAAACCATTCCATTGTAGCTCTGGCTGTATGTTTAGGTTAGTTGTCCTGATGGAAGGTGAACCTCCACCCCAGTCTCAAGTCTTTTGCAGACTTTAACAGGTTTGCCCTGTATTTGGCTCCATCTGTCTTCCCATCAACTCTGACCAACTTTCCTGTCCCATCTGAAGAAAAGCATCCCCACAACATGATGCTGCTGCCACCACCATGTTTCACGGTGGGGATGGTGTGTTCAGGGTGATGTGCAGTGTTCGTTTTCCGCCACAGACAACATTTTGCTTTTAGGCCAAAAAGTTAAATTTTGGTCTCATGTGACCAGAGCACCTTCTTCCACATGTTTGCTGTGTCCCCCACATTGCTTCTTGTAAACTGCAAACGGGACTTCTTATGGCTTTCTTTGAGCAATTGCTTTCTGCTTGCCACCCATCCAGAAAAGCCAGATTTGAGTCTCTATTTACTAATTAGGTGACTTCTGAAGACAATTGGTTCCACTAGATTTTAGTTAGGGTTATCGGAGTGAGGGTGCATTCAAACTTGAGCATTTTGAAGCTTGAAGCTCCAAAAAAGCTCAAACTAAAAAAAAAAAAAAAATCAATTGTTCTCTATCAATTGTTCACTCCTGATCACACAGACAGGCACCATAGAGAACAATTGATTTATGATTGAGCATTTTTGGAGCTAAGGGCTTCAAGCTACAAAACACTCAGTTGTGAATGCAGCCTAAAGTGGGCTGAATACAAATGCACACCAAATTTTTATGATACAGATTTTTATTTGTAAAATATTTTGAAAATCATTTACCATTTTTCTTCCATTTCACAATTATGTGCCACTTTGTGTTGATCTATCACATAAAATCCCAATAAAATACATTTACCTTTTTTGGTTGTAACATGACAAAATGTGGAAAATTTCAAGGGGTATCAATACATTTTCAAGGCACTGTAGCTTGGAGACCCAAAGTTAACTCCCTGCACGCCAAAACCTCTTGAGACAGGAAAAGGATGGGGCTTCCCTGCAGTGAAGATTTCTACAGGATCCAGCTTCTTCCACAAGGATGGACATTACTTCATTATTGGTCAGTTAGGTCAATAAAGCTGTAGGTCTAAAATTTTTAGCTAAACCTCTGTTTTAAATTAAAAAAAAAAAAGTAATAAAAAAGATAAACAATTAAAGTAGGACTAGGCAATATGTGCTTCATTTTGTATAGAGTAAGGGAGGGTTATAACCCGTTAGTTTATTTTTTTGTCATCGTGTCCCATTGCAGAGATTTACCTTCCTATCCCATAGCCAAGACAGCAAGTGAGAGAATTCCTGCAAATGAAGAGAATTCCTTGGGGACCTCAAGGTCACCAGAACTAGTGTTCCATTAGAAAATGTCCCCTCTTATTACTTTTCTGGGGACAACCCAAAATTTGAGGTTTCTTTGACTTTCATTTTTGATGATAATGGTAAACAGGAGAAAAATGAGGATGAATCTCTCTAACAAGGGCACAGACAGCAATAAAAACTTGACAGGGTTTCTAATCCACCTCTACTCTGTCCAAAACTAAAAAAAAAAAAAAAAAGTTTGCCCTTAGTTATACTTTAAACACACACACACTGTACAATATAATTGACCTGTATACAACTATTGCACTACAAATATTACTTATCCCCAAACACATTAGATGTATAGGAAAAATGTAGTCTGGATTTACACATTTGCACTGTTGTGTGGTACTTTAACACATACATGTTAATGCAAAAAACACACACAGGAGGGTGTAAACGCCCAGCACACAATGCGTCATGAAATTCCATTCATTTTGAATGAGTTGCCAGCGCTCCATAACGCAGGTAAAAAATTGCATAACTTTTTTTTTTTTTCTTCAACTACATAGTGAATCACAACACGACATGTGCGTTGTGGTGCACTTCAGTACAAGCATGTTGCTCACTGCTGTCTTAGGGCTTGTGTATACTGGTAACGCACTCCAAAGAGTAAACCATGGTCGCTTTTCAGAGGATGTTTGACAGGCAGTAAGGAGGTGTTTTGTCGTCTACTCCCTGCCTGTTTTGACCCCTAAAAACGTGCACCACCACACCACATGGCATCACAGCCACTACAGCTGGACCCCCCCTTACCAATCGCAAGTTCAAAGAAGGCCTTAGAATGCTGGGGTGCCTTTCAGGGCAAAGTGACAGTGGCTATTAAAGGCTAAGTTCACCTTTTGGAACATGTTACATGTTCCACCCATTTATGGGGTGGAACTTGTTCCAGTTCCTTCCGCCAGTTCAGGCAATCCCCCCTCTGTGTGACATTGGGCAGGGATCTGCTCCCCACACCTGCTGTCATTATTTGAAAAGAGCATAGGTGTGCAGGACTCTGCCCACACAGCTGCCTTATTCATTCTCAGTTGCCTGTGAATTAATGAACTATAAGTGCCATCAGCCACTGCGGCTGATGGCTTGTAGTTCTGAATAAACTGCGAGGGGGGCCGATGAGCCTTCACGTACTTCATTCACAAGCCCTGCTGCTTTCAAACAGCCTTTATGAAGGTTCAAGCAGAAAGTTGTATGGCTTGTCTACAGAAGCCTGACTTTGCACCCCCTATATACTGATCATGGGTGCAAGGCTTTCCAGGCTCCTGCAGGAAACAAAAATACACTTTTTTTTTCTGCAAAAATTTGTCCATTTATTGTTTTCTGGAAAGGTGAACTTATCCTCCGTGACTCACCTCTCACTAGGACTGAGCACCCTCACGAGAGTGGGATGACGTCACCACTCCCTCTAGGCTCCAACGTTAATCAACACCTGGTATTTTTACTGTGGAAGAAGAAGCAGCGGGGATTTCTGAAATTGTGTGGCTCAGAGTGAACTTTTCAGACATTTTCACTTTGTCTAGTATCTCTATAATATGTGTTAATGTTTGTGTGTAATTGTGCATTATGTTAAAGCAGCTCATTCATTTTAAACAGAGTACAAACTCTGGACTTTTGTTCCAGTGCAGCTCATTGCAATATGCAGATTGTTTTTAACTGTGCATTGTTGTAAACTAATGCATTGAGGTGTGCTGGCAAGGTGCCATTGAAAATTATTGGCACTACATCTCACTAGGCTGTGGATCATCCACTAATTACTGCATGTGTGAAGTCAGCCTCAAGTTTAGTTTTTTTGCTTAAGCTGCTTATTTAGTTTTGTGTTCCTTGCTTTGAAACATGTGAGAAGTACAGAACAGTAGCACTACCTTTTTATTTCTACAGGTCCTGTGCTTTCAGTAGTCCTGTGGGGGACTTTTACTAACTTTAAAAACTTTAAATGAAAAATTGAAAATGGCAAAAACATAAAAAATAGACTGGCCACCTGAGGTGAAAATGGGAGACATGGCCTTGGCAAAGAAAGGGTTAATACATTTTATGTTATTGAACTGGAACAAGTACGCATATTAGGTCTGACTTCACTTTGATTTTTTAAGTGAACTGATGCACTTTATTAAAATCTATTCCTAGGTATTGAAGAGGCAGGGATATGACGAAGGATGTGACATTTGGAGTCTGGGAATCCTTCTCTATACAATGCTGGCAGGGTAAGTGCACATACATGCATCATAGCAATGTACGGCAGGTCAGTCAATCTGCAAGCTGCTTTTCTGGCGAAGAAGGCGTGACATCTGCTATTCACAACCATGAGATCATGTAAAAAGCTACATAACATAAGTTAACTCCTATGTTAAATGTGCTTGCACCAATACCTTAATATATTTTGTTCCTGTGCTTTCATGCCTTTCAATGCTTTCATAGAAAAGTAAGAAAGAACTTTAGTATCAGAGAAGCAGACTTGTGTGAAAGTGGCAGAGCTAGGAATTAAAGCAGAGCTCCACCCAAAAGGGGAAGTTCCACTTTAAGCCTTCGTCCCCCACTCTCCATTAAGCATTGGCACCTTTGGGGAGTGGGTACCCTAATTTGACAGGTTCCCACTTCTGCTGCGATCGCCTAGGCGATCGGAAGCGGAAGGTGTCCTCCCCCCCTCCCCGTACTCTTCTAGGATATGTGACAGGTCCCAGAAGACTACGGGCCATTAACAAAGCGCAGCAGTTCTCGCACATGCACAGTGGGCATCTAGCTGTGAAGCCGCAAGCTGTCACAGCCGGGTGCCCACACTAAAGATGCCGGCGCCAGGGAAAGAAGACTGCCGGTGAAACCAGCAGTGGTGAGACCGAGGGACAGCACAGTGTCTGTATTTTAAAAGTCAGCAGCTACAGTTTTTGTAGCTGCTGACTTATTTTTTTCTTTTCAGGTGGAACTCTGCTTTAAATTGGTTTCTTAAAACCCAAATACTCTGGGGTTTTTTGTGAAATTATTCAATAAAATGATAACATAAGCAGAAGTGATTGTAGTCTAACTTTTCTCTTGCATATCTGCAGATATATACACCATTTGCCAATGGCCCAGAAGACACACCAGATGAGATCTTGGCACGGATTGGCAGTGGAAAGTTTACCTTGAAAGGGGGTAACTGGAACACCGTGTCGGACTCTGCAAAGGTACAGTGCAATTAAAGAGTTTAATCTCTTTATAACCATCGGACTATGAAATTCTCTGGCCAAGGAGGTAGAGGTGGTTATCTGTATTCCTAAATTAAAGTTGCACTTGGTGTCGTTCAAATTAGAAATATAGAATGAGGGCGCTTTACCAGTAGAGTGATGTATGCAATGAATATGATTAACACATTGTCACGTTATCCTACTTTGAGGATACATTGGCGGCCACATCATAGTTTCTTTGATTTAGTCTTCTTCTAGATCAAAAATATTAGAATGTATCTCAAGCAGATACTACAATGCTTACTCCACACATTGCTTGTATTTTATGATTCAGCCATGTTTTCTACATAATACAGCTGAGTTCATGGAGATGCTGCCAGTCACATGACTTTGACAGGCCATGTGACTGTGCTATTCTTCTACTGACATTATTTTCCCATTCACTAATTTGGATGGTGCTTCACTTTCTTCAGTGTCTCAAAGAAATCAAAGTGAAGGGCACATTTGTAGCAAAGTTATAATTTTGTTGTGTGTAGCTGACTTTTAACACAGTCCCCATCCTTAGTCCACATCCTTCTGACCTGTTTTGCCCCTCCTAGGGCCTTATGATAGTGGTCTAAGTGCAGCAACTGTGTCAACAGCCAGCTACAAATAGTAAACTTACCAGTGGGAGTCTCTTGGAGTGTGGCCTCGGTTTTTGATTTTTGCTATATATATACACCAAGCTGGGCAAGCTCCTGAGACCTTCGCCTGGAGCAGTAGACTTTCTAGGAAGATGTATTCGTAGCTTGGAGCAGTGCAGACTTTAGGAATTTAAAAATTCTGTACTTTTTTGTAATCTAGAATGCTGCATTAAAGTGAACATTTTTACCTCTCCTGTATTTTAATGATGAATACTTGAAATGAAAGTCCAGGTCCACCCTTCATCTTTAGCACACATGCCAATGTATTCACATACCTTCCATTGACTAACTTTCACAAAAAAACCAAGGGGAGAATATTTTGCACATGTCGATTGGGTCATAGTCAAAAATCTCTAGATCAAAACTGGGAATCAGAATGTCTTTTTTTAGAGTTTTTATACAGGGAATAAATAAAGGAGCCTTGGGTAGTTCTGTGTATTCTACTGGGTTAGTGTTTATGCCTTTGACCTTGCACACATGGACATTAGGGAACGGAGAGTGGTGGGTTGCACTTCCTTTTAATGGCTGACTGCTTCCCAAAAGAGTCAGCATAACCTGGATGTGTACTGTGTTCTCAGAGTCTCCCATATAAAACAATGGAACATGGCTGAGGCCATTTATAAGCACTTAGAAACTGAATTAATGGACACTTTTATTCTAAATCTTTAGACCAGCTAAGGGTGGCAGCGGCTATACATTACTCAATTGGCTATATATTATACAATGGACCTCCCTCATTGAGCATTATTTGATTAGATATGTACAATATATATGGAACTTTTTCCTCTGTCACTCATTTAGGAACACAGCTTGAATTAAAGTATCTATAAACAACTAATTCAGTTTAAAATATAAATAAAAGGCTAAACAAACATTTGTGTATACCTTTTTCTTCCCTGTTTTATAAATTATCACATTCCCTCTAAGTTCCTTAAGCTCTTTATTCAGCCGTGAACAGAAAGGTGGGGATGAGAAACAGCAGTACACTGATCTTCACAATGAATGGCTGTGCAGGGGGCGTGTGCGCAGAAGTGTCATCATTGGAGGAGAGCACACGGAGTTTCCTGCACAGCTAGAGAACTGAGCATGGTGCAATCTCCTCCTTAATATAAAAGCAGAGGGATTGGCCAGGACACCAGGGATTTCACACAAAGGAAGCAATACAAAGTGAACAGGATGCTTTTTCATACAAGTACATGATACAGCAGGCACATATCCAACATATGACATGTTGGGTTTACATATTAAGCAACCTATGCCACCTATACTGCCTCCTACAGGAGAAATTGACCCCTAAGGTACATAGAAAATGGAAAGGCGTGCACGCACACACATTTTTGTTTACTATGTTCATTTCCAGTCTGCTATATTTTTTCTAAACTTGTACTGGCTACTGGTAGATTTGGGCAAAGAACTGGAGATCTTGGAAGTCTCTCCAGTTGGCTAAGGAGCACGGGTTTTCTCTGTTCGTTTAAACTGGTTTGCTCTCTCTGCAATGGTCCTGTGGTCTGCAGAGAGAGTCTTGAGGTCAGACCAGTATATTTGGGGATCCCCTGCTGAGTTATTAGGTCCAGTGCTGAATCAGTTCTCCTTTCCCAGTCTGGGTTGCCCAAATTGTGCATCTGAATTTCCCTCTGCTCCTTCAGGACTTTTACTACTGCAGATTTATTGAACTAGTGCGTGCATGCGCTCAGCCTCTCCTCCAGCCATGTGCACCCAGGGACACAGCCTGGTGGTTTCTGCAGTCTGCCTGCCATGTCTACCCACCCACATACCCACGTCACCCAGCTCAGCTCCATGAGTATTTCGGGGGGGGGGGGGGGGGGGCGTCGAATAGTTCTTTTTCACACTATAGAAACGCAGTCCAGATGCGTTTCCGCATGCACCTTTTTTTATTCCAGCTAATTTTTTCCCCTCATTTTCTTCAATTTAAATAGGGACATGTGCGTCCCAGTGCGTTTTTGGTGCATTTTTACCGCATTCCAGTACAGTTCTGTGCAGAAACATTGCATCCTGTTCTACTTTTGTCTCTGCAACCGGAACGCACTGGAGCTGCAAGCACTGGTGTGAACTATGACATTGACCACCATATAACCTACTTTCTATGCATTTTGGATGCCGAAAAAAGGCAACTGAAACACATGTAGTGTGAACTGGCCCTAAAGAGCCAACAATGCCTGGTACTAGACAGGAGGGCGGTCACCATATGGGGCCCAATTCAGGACTAAATTTACTTTTATCCTTTGGTGCAAATTCCTCTCCTTGCCTCACAGCTGATATATGTCCTACTGTTTTGCAGGGATTTATGATTCCATGCAACTTGTTGCTCCCTATCAACACAAAAGTTTAATATGCCCACCACTGCCCTCTCCAGTAGAATCTGACCTAGAGATCAATTTTACAGTGCTGTAAAATTTGTTCAATGTCTGTTTACTCGATTTTAGTGAAAATGTATTATTTTACTGAAAATTGGGTATTATATTGTGTTTGTGTGCATTATTTTCTAGGCTTTCTTTATTTTTTCACCTGGTGATCTAGTAAGTGTGTTGTTTTATATATTTAACACTGACAGGGGTGCTTACAATGGTCAGCTTTTATTTATGTAAATATTAATACAAAAAGGAACAAAGCTATTGCTGTAACCTTTAAAAGTGTTAGCTTCTGCTTGGTTTCAATTTGTTAGTGTGTCTAAATATGCTAGTTCTAATACTAGACTGACAATGCTGCTGCCCAAAGGTGTCTCTGCTGCTCCTTCAGCCAGAGTGTAGGCACACTAATACAGGGGGTGTGTTACTGGTCAGATCATCAGGTGAAAAAGAAGGGGAAAAATATAAACCCCCCCCCCTCAAAAAACAATGCAGCCACCATGTATAATAGATTGGTAAACGGCAGTATATTACATTTTTGACTTTGGGTTCAATCCCACTGGAACCTCTTCACGCTGCACCTCCTGGCCCTTTTAGAAGTTTCTGAGGCAGGGCAGGGTTTATGATCATGTGACTGCCATGATTTGCTGTCACAAGCGTCGCATGATCGGAAAGGTAGTGTTTGGGAACTTACTGTTAGGGGCCGGTAACTGTGCTTGGAGCACTCAGGACACATGGTTTTCTACATTCGGTTATGCAAATATGCGTTTTGTCGGCACAAAGGGGTTTAGCAGACTCTCCTAATCGTGGAATATGGGTTGGAGTCTTAAATCCGATAATTCCACAGCTGTGGCTTACATCAACCATCAGGGGGGGCACCAGAAGTGTTGCAGCAGTGACGGAGGTTGACTCTATCCAGTCCTGGTTGGGAGCAATCTCCATGTTGCCCATTCTTGGTATAGAGTGCTGGCAGGCAGATATCTTCTGGATCTGGGGAAATATTCTCTTCCTAAAGAGGTGTTTTGGTACATATGCGTGCATTGGGGGACGGATGTGGATTTGTCAGCTTCTTGGTTCAACAAGAAACAGAACAAATTTGGCTGCAGGATGTAGGACCCAACCATGGATGCAGCAGATGCCCGGGTGGCCCTGTAGTATCAGTAGGCCTGAGCTATGTCTTCACTGAAAATTCAACCTTCACTACTTCAAAAGATAAAAGCCAAGGGCATTGCAGCCATTCTCCAAGTGTGGTATACTGACTTCCTCCATCTGTTAGCCGTTTTTGTGGACTGATCTTCCACCTTGCTTCTCATATGCTGGCTTTGACAACCTGGCTACTCAAACCCAAAGTTCTGAGAAACAAGGACATTTTGGACTCGGTGATCCTGATCCTGCTTAGAACTTGTAAATCTACTTCCTGCAATTTTTGTCTGGTGTGGCTCTCTGGGGGTCTTTGGTCTGAGTCTCTGGGAGTTTTTCCAAGTGCCTTATCATGGACCATAGTATTTCTTTCCTTCAGATGTGGGTAGAGCAGCACTTGGCCCCTAGTACCATTAAAGGTCAGTTGTCTGCCCTGTCTGTTCTTTTTCAACATCCTCTGGCTAATAATTTGCTAATTTGTGCTTTCTGTTAAGGGGTTACATATGTCGTTTCCCATGTTAGTCCTTAACTCCAACCGTGGTGTTTAAATCTTGTAATGTTATAGGGAGTCCCATTTTATCTTGCATAAATAACTTCGGGGGGTGGTTTTCAGTTTATGTGCCTAATGTTTATTTTTCCTGTATGTGAATGTCAATAGTCATTCGACTTGATAAAGGGATTTTACTGTGAGTACAAAAATCCTATTTTTCTAATGAGGAAAGGGGCCAATATACATTGGGTTGACCTTTTGTGTTCCCTGCAAGGTCCATTTTAAATTTAATGGAGTTCAAGGTACAAGTGGGAGCCTCTAAGCAGCGTAATAGTGATATTTGTTGATCTAGGAGGTGGGATTAAGGATAGCAATGCAAACATATACTTCAACAAGTTGTAATTTATGATGTTGCATTTATTTTAATAAAAAAAATCTGCACATATAAAGCTGCCAGGCTGTGCCGGACAATAAAAATTTTGAGTGACTGGTCTACAATACTCCTTTCTTTGCACATGTGCTACATGTATATTAGATTCTGCACTTATTTGTAAACCTTGTATAAGACTGTATATTCTAACATTCATGGGTCCTCTTACAGGACTTGGTTTCGCGCATGCTGCATGTGGATCCCCACTGCCGGCTCACTGCCCGTCAAGTTCTGCACCATGAATGGATCACAAAACGAGACTTACTACCTCAGAGCCATCTTAACCGGCAAGATGCACAGTTGGTAAAGGTGAGTGTCATCTTGTTTCACAATTCTCTTCCCAGCTACTGCATTGCAGTAAGCTTCTAATATGAGAACAGGATGCAAGGTACAGAAAGCTTTCAAGATTATAAAAATAAAACTAATTTTATTTTGCTACTAGAGGTTTGAGTGTAGGGCTTAGTCTTTTCAACAGCCAACTCCCTGTCCTGTGAGAGTAGCTTCCTAGCCAATAAGGTCAGCCTCATTGGAGAGGGTAATGACTGTGTTCCAGGTTTAGTCCTGAAGTCTAGGAAGTCAGGCCCCAGTAACAAGATGCTACTGTTAGAGCAACATAGAAGTGTGTTCTCACAAACAAAAGTAATAGCAGGAATGTTTGGTGTCTGCTCTTAGGAAGGTCATTCACTTTTAAAAGTCTAAAATAGCTGACCAGTTTCAAGGCACTTAAAGTGGTTGTAAATCCCTACCTATACTCAGTGAAGTGACTGGTCTCCTGTGATACACAGAGATGAAACAAATCCTCATATAAGTTGTACCTGTCTATCTGCAGCGTCCTTTCCCCTACATCCGTTCAAAGTGCAGAACTTACACAGGATCTCTAAGCTCTGAAAAGCAGGGGGTGAGGAACTGAAGTTACATCAGTGAGGACAGCTCTGAGAGCTGAATGGAATGAAGGGACATACCCCCCTTCAGACAGGTACAGAGCTCAGGCTGTCAATCATAGGCTGTGCCCTCCCCTGTCACCATTTTCCTCTTGGTGTCAGGAAAACGTCTCAGAAGTGACTCATGCTGATAGCAGAGGAACAAAGCAGCAGACAGAAATGACACTTGGTACTCTGGATTAAGAGAAGTACACATTATAGAGAGCTATGCATTGTTCATATCTTGCATCCTATCTATGCATTGTTCATGCTGAGGTTTAAAACCACTTTAAAGCAAAGTAAACCCACCAATATAACTGTTTCTCAAAAGAAGGTTTCGGTTATAAAAGTTAAAAAAAACTTTTATTAAATCTTTAATCAGTGTATGCTGCCTTCAAGACATACATTAATAACTTTTACAGTTACTAGTATGCTTATGTCCATTTTCAGTTGAATTGGTTGGCCCTTGGGAACCTCTCACATGAAATATGAACAAAGCATATCCCTTTATATTGTGTACTTGTCTCAATTAAGAGCTTCATTTCTGCCTGATGCTTCATTCCTCTTCTATCAATCACTTCTGACATGCTTTCCAGATACCAAGAGAAAAATGGTAACAGGGAAGGACCGCCAGCAGATTGACAGCCTCAGCTCTGTTCCTGTGAGCTGTGTGGAGGGGATATGTGTCCCTTCCCTCCAACCAGCTCTCACTGAGTTCTGCAGAGTGTAACTTCAGCTCCCCACCCCCTGCTTTTTGAAAGTTCAGACAGGCTGTATGAATTCTGGATTCTGAACAGATGTAGAGGAGAGAGGGCTGTAGATAATTAGGTACAACCTATGTAGGAAGTCACTTCACTGGGTATATGTAAGGGCTTACAACCACTTTAAGACCAAAAATGGCAGGTGTAATAGCTGGTCACATGTGCAGCACCATTGCAACTGAAGATCTAAATCGAGGCTAAGATGGCACTGTCCTTGGCTGTAAAAGAATAGGAGGGTTTGGTTTTTCTCTATATCAAAACTGATTCTAAACCACTAAGTCATGGTTCACACTAGTACTGCTGCAACACGATGCATTTCTTTATTGTGACATTGCGCTTTTTTGACACGTTTTTTATACTGATGCATTTTTTGGTGGGTGGAGACTGAATTTTATACGCAATACTCTGCCAAAGGGTTCGCCACTGAAATCTATAGGGCCAAAATCACACTGCAGTTGCACCAAAGAAGCGCTTGCAACTTTCTAAAAAGTGCGCTGCATTGATGTGAATGGGCACCATAGAAAATACTGTCATTTCCATTGTCGTGCAGTTCAGCAATTGCAGAAGCAAAAGCACTAGTGGGAAAGGGGGCGCTGAATCTTGGTGACATGTTATGCTATGAAACTCATTCTCTGTGCATGAAAAAAAGATAAAGTTTAAAGTGTATCTAACCTTTAGTTTTAGATAGCAATGGGGGTGTAGCATCCCTGTCAAGTTTTTATTGCTGCCTGGTTTCCCGCTGGGGGTTTTCACCCTGCGTTTGTAAAGACTACCATTAACAGCAAGACTGAAAATGAGGAAACATTAAACATTTTACGCTGTCAGCAAAACTGGCTTAGAGGGGAAATCTTTTCTTAGGCATACTTGGTTCAGTAAAAAAGGGTTCTCTGTCATGTCCTGTGTTGTCTATGGGGATAGTATGTAAACGAAAAATCTCCCCAGTGGGGCAGTGCAAAAAAAAAAAAAAACTTGACAGGTTGTAAGCCTTCCCTACTCTATCCACAGCTATAAAAAGTGGCTTTACACCCCAGTCACATCAAAGCCGATTTTGAAATCATGCGACTTACAGTGAATTTGCACGATTTACAAACTGGGTGACCTGCTGATTTCATTGCAGTTTGCAAGACATCTGACACAGATGTCTATGTAAATCGCATCAAAAGTAGTGCATGTACTACTTTAGAAATCAGTGCAGCTCCAACCAAGTCGGAACCGCACTGATATAACCGTTCTAATAGCAGACAATAGGGTGCGACTTGGCATACGACTTGCAAGTCGCATGGCATGCCAAATCGCACCCGATGTGACCGGGGTGTAAAGGTAAACCACCTTTTCGTTTTGTTATTTTAATTGTAAAGTACTCCCTAGTTAGTAGTATGTGTGTGCATACCATAATTGCTGACAGATGTCCTGTGTTCTCCATTTGCACTATAGCCATATCATTTTGACTGAACTCTTAATCATTTCTGATTTATTTTACTCATTTACTGTTGTCTGCATATTTCCGTCATGTTTCTTACTTCGGTTTTCAGTAAATCTGTATGGTTTTATATTGCAGGGAGCTATGGCTGCCACATACTCTGCCTTAAACAGCTCTAAGCCAACTCCACAGCTGCAACCAATCAAATCATCTATCCTCGCACAACGCCGTGTCAAGAAACTTCCTTCCACCACTCTCTAGCAGGGTGTTCCACTTGCCACAATTGTTCTCCTGTACTTGGTGACTTGTGATGATGGCTCTTAGCCACTACCAGCTTTCAGAAACTGTGTGACACCATATTTACCCTGACCATATAAAGCTGTGTTACTCCTGCCCATGTGGACTCAGCATGGCATGTTTGATGTGCCATTATTTCCGGTACAGTTGCAGGAGACTGCAAGGGGCTAATGCTCTAAAGAAAAGTGTACAATTAATGAAACAAAGCATAGATATATTTTATCTAAGGTGGTTGTTGTGCTTCTATAAATCATTACGCATCCCCCCTCATCTCCTTGCAGCACTATCTCAGGGCTGTCTGAACTCCTGCTGTCTGTGACAGTGAAGGGACACTGTTGTTTCATCTGTGACATATCAAAGTTCTGAGTTTTCAATGTTCTTGTTTTTTTTTTTTTTCTGCCTTTTGCTTTGTGCTGTTACAAAGCAATCTCACAAACATTCCAATACATAGTATTTGTGTTTACGCACACAATGCAGACTTGGTGTATTCACACACCTAAGGGCTCACTGTGCTTCAACCGCATGTTGCTTTATTCAAGGGACTGTTTTGGCAAGCAGCCAACACTTGGCTACAATTTAAGCACAAAGAATATGTGAAATAGACCTTGAGATTAAAACACTGATCTTTTAATAAAAAAGAAAAGCTGGAATACAAAGAAAATGTTCTTTCGGGTAAAGAAATATCAAACTGTAGTGTAAACTACCAGCAAACAACTTTAACACTGGAGAACTGTGTTAAGACCCATTTTGCTGATGGAACATGCGCACTGTAAGCTGATTTTTCATAAAAAGGAACCGCATTATGTAAGCAGCGTATGCCCCTACATCTTTTTGGAAATAACATAGAGTTGACACTTGATAACCATTTGTACTTTTAACTGATTTCAATAGCTTTTCCTTATGCGATAAATGTGCATTTTAGGGTGGATTTCATAAAGTTCTATACCAGCCCTATAAATGGAGAAGCAAATCGCAAATAAATGAAGATGTATCCTCAAAAAGAAAAAAGTGGAGTGCAACACTTCCCATTGTGTGTGTATGTGCATTTTGATGGATAGCGGTAGTTTGGGATGTTTTTACTCTTTACTTTACTTTGTTTTTAACCATGCAACATAGGTGATTGTTGATTTTGATTCCTATATACAGACCCCTTGGAACATGTGCTGTCAAGCCTTTTGTAATGAAGACAGTTTTAGTATGTTTATATAGCAAGTGATTGGCTTGTTATTCCACAAGGTGATGGAACTTGGTTGTCTGAAACTGTAGCCATACTTCACTTTGGTCCTGTCGCACAAATAAAGCTTTTTTTTTTTTTTTTCTTTCTTTTTTAGAATTGGGAAATGCTTAACAATTATCCTTTGGAGATATTTTTGAGTGCTGGTAGAAAATACCAACCACATGTAACTAATACCAGTGATCTAAGAACCCCTCTTTGTAATGCAGGATAGGTATTCCCAATATTTATGACAATCAAAAGTCTACTGGCCAAAAAAGTGACGTACAAATCTTGTGGAACCTGTAGAGTATACAGTCAGGTCCATAAATATTGGGACATGGACACAATTCTAACATTTGTGGCTCTATACACCACCACAATGGATTTGAAATTAAACAAACAAGATGTGCTTTAACTGCAGACTGTCAGCTTTAATTTGAGGTTATTTACATCCAAATCAGGTGAACGGTGTAGGAATTACAACAGTTTGCATATGTGCCTCCCACTTATTAAGGGACCAAAAGTAATGGGACAATTGGCTTCTCAGCTGTTCCATGGCCTGGTGTGTGTTATTTCCTCATTATCCCAATTACAATGAGCACATAAAAGGTCCAGAGTTCATTTCAAGTGTGCTATTTGCATTTGGAATCTGTTGCTGTCAACTCTCAAGATGAGATCCAAAGAGCTGTCACTATCAGTGAAGCAAGCCATCATTAGGCTGAAAAAACAAAACAAACCCATCAGAGAGATAGCAAAAACATTAGGCGTGGCCAAAACAACTGTTTGGAACATTCTTAAAAAGAAGGAATGCACCGGTGAGCTCAGCAACACCAAAAGATCCGGAAGACCACGGAAAACAACTGTGGTGGATGAGCGAAGAATTCTTTCCCTGGTGAAGAAAACACCCTTCACAACAGTTGGCCAGATCAAGAACACTCTCCAGGAGGTAGGTGTATGTGTGTCAAAGTCAATAATCAAGAGAAGACTTCACCAGAGTGAATACAGAGGGTTCACCACAAGATGTAAACCATTGGTGAGCCTCAAAAACAGGAAGGCCAGATTAGAGTTTGCCAAACGACATCTAAAAAAGCCTTCACAGTTCTGGAACAACATCCTATGGACAGATGAGACCAAGATCAACTTGTACCAGAGTGATGGGAAGAGAAGAGTATGGAGAAGGAAAGGAACTGCTCATGATCCTAAGCATACCACCTCATCAGTGAAGCATGGTGGTGGTAGTGTCATGGCGTGGGCATGTATGGCTGCCAATGGAACTGGTTCTCTTGTATTTATTGATGATGTGACTGCTGACAAAAGCAGCAGGATGAATTCTGAAGTGTTTCGGGCAATATTATCTGCTCATATTCAGCCAAATGCTTCAGAACTCATTGGATGCCGCTTCACAGTGCAGATGGACAATGACCCAAAGCATACTGCAAAAGCAACCAAAGAGTTTTTTAAGGGAAAGAAGTGGAATGTTATGCAATGGCCAAGTCAATCACCTGACCTGAATCCGATTGAGCATGCATTTCACTTGCTGAAGACAAAACTGAAGGGCAAATGCCCCAAGAACAAGCAGGAACTGAAGACAGTTGCAGTAGAGGCCTGGCAGAGCATCACCAGGGATGAAACCCAGCGTCTGGTGATGTCTATGCGTTCCAGACTTCAGGCTGTAATTGACTGCAAAGGATTTGCAACCAAGTATTAAAAAGTGAAAGTTTGATTTATGATTATTATTCTGTCCCATTACTTTTGGTTCCTTAATAAGTGGGAGGCACATATGCAAACTGTTGTAATTCCTACACCGTTCACCTGATTTGGATGTAAATACCCTCAAATTAAAGCTGACAGTCTGCAGTTAAAGCACATCTTGTTTGTTTCATTTCAAATCCATTGTGGTGATGTATAGAGCCAAAAATGTTAGAATTGTGTCGATGTCCCAATATTTATGGACCTGACTGTATACAGATAAAACGGATGGCGTTTGTGAAACTTTTTCTGGGCTTCTGAAAACTACATTAATCATCTTCAACCTTTTCATGATGAGATGTATTCCGGTACTTTAGGGAAATTCTCCTGCTGTATTAGTGCATAATCTTTCGTTGCTCTTTCTCTTGTCTAATAAACCTCTCACTTGGTTTAACTGGTACATTTCAAAGCCAGTATTATTACAGTATTGTCTGCTTCAAAATGTGTTGACTAAATTACCTTAAGTTTTTTTGGAAGATAAACTTGTCCAAACAATCCTGCAGATCATGAGCAGTAAATTTGAAGTCCAAAAGCTTGATCTTGATATGCTGTTTGCCTAATATTTGCAGGTCTTAATTTCCTGTCAAAACAGACCATATGTCTCTCATCAAGTATATCTTTTTACCTAACCACCTCACCTTCCTAGTCATACCCTGTCACAAAATTGGTTATTTTAGCAGAAAGTCCTGCTGTCAGAATAGAATGTCTCAGGGGGATTCCTTCCTTCATCACACCTCACTTTTGTGGATGGAGGAATCTGTTTAAGGCAGCAGGGCCTTAAAGCGGAGCTCCACCAAAAAGGGGAAGTTCCGATTTAAAGATTGTACCCCCGCTCCCCATTAAGGATTGGCACCTTTGGGGAACGGGGGGGATGGGTACCCAAATTTGACAGGTACCAGCTCCCACTTCTGCTGCGATCGCCTAGGCGATCGGGGGTGGAAGTTGTCTTCCTACCCTCCCTCCCCGAAGTCTTGTGGGACACGTAACAGGTCCCAGAAGATGACTGGGCCATTCAGGCAGCGCAGCGCTACTTGCACATGTGCAGTGGGCTCCCGGCTGTGAAGCTGCAAGCTGTCACAGCCGGGTGCCCACACTGAAGATACTGGCGCCTGGAATACAGGACGGCCGGTGAAATGAGCTGCGGCAGGGGCAACACTTGGGACAGGTGAGTGGCTGTTTTTTAAAAGTCAGCAGGTACAGTTTTTGTAGCTGCAGACTTTTATTACAGTGAGTGGAACTCCACTTTAATCTTGTAGTGCAGATATACAGCAATGAGGCTGCAGGTACAGAAGTGCCTAGGCACCCTTACATGCAGGAAGTGCACTGCTATTTTTCAACAGGAATTCAAGACAAAAGGTATATTTTCAATTCTGCTTGGGCATAACAAACATTTCAAAATTTTCTCTAGAACAGCAGATCTTTACTTTTATGAGTTCAGTTACGCTTTAACCTGTTCCTGCCAGCCATATGCATTTATGCGACCTCTCAGCGGGTGGACTTTAAGGCTGAAAAGCCCATATATGTGTCCCAGATGTAAACTTCTGTGCTGAGAGCACACGCTCCCAGCACAGTTACTGGCAGGTACTGGAAAGCTCCTGATGCCTTCTTGTGATAAGTAGCTTTCTGATCATGTGACCACTGTGACTGCCAGTCACAGCGGTCACATAATCAGAATGCCCGCCTCCACCTCCCAGCATTTAGAACCTCTTAAAGGACCAGGAGGTGGTGGCGGTAAAGGGTTACGTTTAGCTGTAAAGATATCTGCGACTAGATTTACTTTCTCTATCCTGCACATCATCAGTGCATTTAGAGGACGTAAGGTTGGTCCAGAGTAACACTGAAAATCGAAGACTCCTGACCCAGAGTTGCACTCTGCTGTTGCTTCTTATTTTGCTTGTTTACTGTCAAAGTTTGTACTGTATATAAAACTTAACTACATGCACATGAGCCACAAAATGCCAAGGTTGAATGACCCAAGCACAGAACTCTCATTTGTACT